TCTTTCCAGTGACTGACTTCCCAGGTTTTCTTGCCATTTGATTTTTCTCTCTCCAAACCCAAGAGGCGGGCCACTGAGGCAATGAAGGTTTGGACCAGCTGTGCTCCTAGGCCCTCCATTAGCACGTACAATCAAGGGCTGCCTGAAGAGAGGGATGGAAAAAAGGGAGCAAGGACAGGAGAAAGAAGGGAGAAAAACGCTCAAATATCTAAGATGTAAAATACAGCAACGCTGAGGTGACGCCGTGAGCACACCTTCCCCTCTGAAGAAAGTGGAACCGCGAACCGACAGTTCTCGCCGCCGGGGGAGGCACCAGAACCGAACTACAGCGCTCCGCTCCCGCTTCGCCCGGACACAAACGGCACCGGAAACATACCTGGCTGAGTCCTGCAATCAGTGCTCAGCTAGTCCCGTGGAGTGACTCCTGATCTTTTGACGAATGATTTCTCTTAAAATTACCCTGTTATGGAGCACAAGCGGTTTTTTCAATACAGCTATTACGAAGACCGACTATTTTTAAAGATTTGCAACATTTTCTAAAAATCATGTTTATGCTGACACCTCCTATTACGTAACATAAAAGAACATCATCAAGGCTGCGACAGGTTAAGCGGGCATCTTATTATTGTTTGCAATGCACTCCACCTACCTCACAGGGTTGTTGTGAGGAAAACTGTCAGATTTGGAAAAATGCCTTGAGCTTCTCGAAGGAAAGGCGCTATATAAATGCAAAAACAAACAACAATCAGAAACTATTTGCACAATTTGTACTTGTAATTTCTAAACAGACTTATAATATCAGTTGTAGCAGAAATCCTTAAAACACGGTGATATTCAAGAACTTCGTGAAGCCATGGGTAGGCTCAGCACAGGAAATCTAAAAATTTCTTTATATTTTCTAGTCAAGCACTTAATTTCTAAGTGACATTTAAAGTGATTTATAAATTCATGTCCAAGAATGGACATAAATAATCACACATGAGAAAAATAAAAATTAGATGATCACAGTAGTGGAAGGGTGAGTAAAAACTGTACAGATTTGGATTAGAAAATTCAAGAAAAGCTCCAAAGAAAAAGTGCCCTGAGATGACTCTTCTCATTTCCTTGCACCGTTATTTCCTGTTCAGCTCACTGCTCCCCTGAGACTCCCCGGGATACTGTGAATCTCTGGGTCACGCAGCCTCAACAAAGGGCATTTATTTCTCAGAGCACCATCTCTGCTTTACAGTGCCCATCTCCCCACTTTGGTTTTTAAAAGAATCAGAGGTATTACTAGCAACTCTATTCTCTGGCTAACAGGAAGAATATCAGTTTCACAATTGACAAATGTCAACTAAATCTAAATATCTCCCAATAAGTTGAAATTAGTATTTTGTTTACACTATTTCTAGGTATTCGTGTTACAACTCTGACATACTTGTCGGTAAATAGAGGGACATATTAGGATTAAAACATGAGCATTCATAATACAGCTAGTTTGGGAAATTCCCAAATCATTAAACATCTACTGTTTCTGAGCATGGTTCCTGATGGTATATGGAAAGAAGTCAAAGGGAGGAAAAAGGGCGTAAAAAAGAGAAAACAAAAAGTGACAATCAAATTACAGGTGTAAAACATGAGAACAGAGAGACCACTTATGCAAGTAACATACAGACAGCTTGGAGAATTAAAGTCCAAGCTCCAATCCTATCTTCTAGTCACTGCTTTTGCACCTCAAAGAGAGAGACGTCCATAAGCTATTAATTTAAGAAATATAAATTTTCCTCATTCTCTATAAAATAGTATCTCTGAAAATGATGTGAGTAAACATTCTGTTAAACTCTTGCTCAAGAGATGAAGAACTAGGATAAAATTTTATTTCTGAGTAAGTCCACTAAGATTTGAATGAAAATGTGCACCATTCAGTAAGAGTAACGGCTTTACTAATAAATTTCTGCGTGCTCCCAACTGTCAGCTTACAAGGGTCTGTTAAAGCGCCTTCACAATGAACGCCTCTGGAGAAAGGCCGAGAGCATCCCTTGATAGAGCAACGTCAACTGCTCAGCCATGGGGCCTGAGGTGCCCACGCTGCTGCAAAGCCAGCCTGGTCTATCCAGGGGACAGTAGGCTACACTAGAAACTGAATGAGAATTACATGCTGCACTGAAAACAGGAGTAAGTGTCTTCTTCTGCATGTTTAACTTGGTTTAACCAGTTTTAATTTTAGATCTTTCAATTTCTATTCATTAAAAAAATGTTATTTACTGGATGCATTTTAATTTAGGGGTACCTGGGCAAGGTAAGGTCTTAAGTTTTAATACTTGTGTGGTAATCCTAAACTGTTCGTTTTAGGACTACATGTTTTTAAGTGAGCCCTGAGAAGCCAGTGGTAAAGAATTTTTATCCACTTACGGCACCAGAGCAAAGCTCAGCAGGCCAGATGCTTCGGTGCTCTGCCAAGGCCAGTAGAGACCCCGCACAGCTGCTCAGGGCTCCGCACGGCTGGCCAAGACCCACCGCAGCCGGTCAGGGGCTCGTCAGAAATGGAGGATCTCAGAACCTGCCCCATAGCTTCTGAGTCAGAACCTGCATTTTAACCAGATTCCCCAAGTGACTCTAGGAACAACTATTGTCAAGGAGGATTTTTACAGAAAATAGGACTTTTTTCCTGCTGCAGAAGGCAATAACAAGCAACCCTTCATCACATATCAGATATGTGATTTGAATAGTCAAAGCTTGAGAGATTCTGAATACACAGATTTCCTTCCTAAACCACTAAAAGTTTTTTTATAATCTTGATGAAATGCTTCCTAAAATGGTTTATATGCTTCCATATTTCAGTATACAAGGCATAATGAACATATTCTCTTTCTTGATGATTCCAAGTCATAATTATGGGCCTTTGTGGTAATGTCCTGAATACCATTAGACTGTTATGTGAATCAGTGATTCACGTTTCTGAATTCAGCAAGAAAAAAAGGCTACAGGGTGACTTAAATACCATCATGATCCTCCAGAGAGTGAACACTGGTCTCTTATGTTCGCTGGGGAAAAAAAAAAAGAAATGGACTTAATGTAAACCAGATTTCAGTTGGACGTGAGGGCATCTGATCTTGCTGATTTTTCAGGGGACAGCCATCCATCTGCCTATTTAGAAATTTAGAGTACTTGCTCCTGTGAAGGCAGGAAACTATTTAAATAATTCTCTAACTTGTCACTTCATTTTAGTAAGTAAAGATACAGGACAGGAAATTACATGAAAATACCAAAGGCACAATTTTACCAAAATTACTTCTTTCTGGATGGAGAATGTAACTGATAAATGAATTATACACTATCTTGTTTTAATTCTAGCAAGAGACAGAACTGAAGGGGGGTAAAATGGACACAAGATTTTCCTCTCATCACCTTTACTCATCAATTCCTATCTTTCCTCGACTTATTGGTGACTTCCTCCTGGCGATCAAGTCCTTCTAGGGCATTCGCTGACACTGGAGCTACGAAACACCAGTTCTGGCGTGACAGGAGCGAGAGGACAGTGGCCCAGGACTTGCTCTACACTCTAAAACCCCGGGCTCTTCCATCAGACTTGAAAACCCTTTGCCATCAGAGCTAAGAGATGAAGAAGAGCTGCAGAGCTCTGGCGGTGTTTGGTGGCGGTCAGTTACGAAATCACCTAAGAGCCTTTTTTGGGAGAGAGATGATGTTTAAGGGAATTAGAATAAAGAAATGTAAAGGATGACAGATTCCAAGAGTGATGTAATATTTTACATAGATGTCTTCTGATAATAAAGCCCTTACGCATCTATTTTCTTATCTGCATATCGAATAGAAGCACGTGTCTTTAAAAATATTTACTCTTACTTAGCTGAATGCTTAGCTCAATCTCAAAGATTAAACTTGACGGCAAAATTCCCTGTGTACAGTGGCAATTATTTAAAAGAAGTAAAGTCTGCAATAAAATCATGAAAAAAAACTAATGTAACCTAATTTAAGTAGGAAAAAAGCTTTTTTAAAATCATACTCCTTTTCAAAGTTTTAGAGAATGTATGATTTTTTTTCCAGCTAATTACCATCAACATTTAAAACAATATAAAGATGCTCCTCCAGCTTTATATTTTAATCGAAATATTCTGAGATAAAATAAGAACACAGAATTAACACTGATGAGATCCTTAGAAGCTTTTGTTGCTTTCCTTGGCTCACACAGAGAAAATCCTTCTGTAGCAAAGAACTTTCCTTTAATGTCATTTTATATTTTGACTAAAAGTAAAATTAGCCATCTAGCTTCTTAAATTCAACATCATCTGTTTCATTCAGGAGAAAGACTTATAATTACCTAGTATTCATTTTGTGTGTTTGAAAACCTAAATAGGGATCAAGAACCAAACTGGTTGCTAGGTCATCATTTTCACAGAGCTCCTTGGCAGACATTCCAGAAGATGGTACATATCGACTCTGTCCTTCAAATCCTGAATTACCATTACCTGTGAAAAGAGAAAGAAAAGTAACTGAAATTGAAATCTACTAAATCTACCATAGCTTTGTTGCCCATTCAAGCTAGTAATCAAGAACTGAAATGACTTATTTCAATCAGTTTTAGTAATTAACTTAAACTAACCCGATTATTGAGAGTATTTTGGTTAGCAGATATCAGGTTTCCTAAGAACAGTCTCTGGACAGCGGTGAGACTCTGGCTCAGACGCCTTACTCACTCCTCCAAGGAAGAGCTGAGAAATGGGGTGAGTGGGGATGTTTATCAAGCACAAAGGGCCACCACAAACAGGGCTGGGGCGAGGAGGAGCGTTAGGAACACAAGACGCTTCTGCAGTCAGTGCCAGGCGTCCCCAGGTGTCAACTCCAGCTTCCTGCTTGTGGCAGATGACCATCATCCCCGCTTTGCCAGCAATAGGCCCAGAGGTTACGAAACTTGCCTATGATTACAGAACTAGGATGTGAAAGTGGGAAAAGGAGGAGAGAGGATGACCGGCCTATTTCTCTAACTGACCCGTCTGAAACAAACTTTGAATGAATGGATAAAAATGGGAAAGGTGACTGAAATATATGTGCGACCGAAGTAATTGGGTTTAACTGTGGAAGAAAAGCAATGTAAAGAGAGGAAAGGAAAGTCGTATTTGCATGTATGAAGTTTCGTCAGTGATTTGAATTTGATGCGCGTGTCACTGACGGTCTTCTCGTGGAGTTGGCAAAGACACCAGCTGTATAATCAAGCCTCTCAAAATTAAGACATGAAGAATGAGAGACCCTGAGAGGTGTAACCTTCTTCTCATCCACTCTTTCAAGAAAATAATAATAATAATAATAATAATAATAATAATAATAATAATAAACACATATATAAGTCCCTGCCTAAAGTATATGTTTTGCAATCAAATTATTGGCATGTCGGTATGTGAAAAGCTATCGAATCTTGTATTTTCTGTAACAGCTTTATTGAAGTATAATTCACATGCCATACAATTCATCCATTTCAAGTATAGAATTAAATAGTTTTTATTTAAATATATTCGCAGAATTGTGTAACCATCACCACAATCAATTTTGGAGCATTTCATCATTCCCAAAAGACACCCCACACCCATTAGCAGTCACTGTCCATTTCTTCCTCCCACCCAGCCCCTGGCAGCCACTATTAATCCACTTTGTCTCTATGAATGTGCCTAGTTTGAAAATTTCATAAAAATGGAATCACACATGTGCTCTTTTGTGACTGGCTTCTTTCAGTTACCATGTTTTCAAGGCTCATCCATGATGTATCATGCATCAGTACTTTATTCCTTATTATGGCCAAAGAGTAACCCATTGTATGCATAGACCACATTTTGTTTATTCATTCATCAGTCCATCAGATGGACTGGGTTTCTTTGGCTATTATGAATAATGTTTGTATGAACATTCATGTGAAAGTTTCTGCGTATACATGTTTTCAATTTTCTTAGGTACATAACTAGGAATGGACTTGCTAGGCATACGCTAACTATGATTAACCTTTTGAGGAATTGCCAGACTTTCCAAAGTGGCTGCAGCATTTTACGTTCCCAACAGCAGCGTATGAGGGTTCTAAATTCTCCACATCATCCATCATCAACACTTGTTACTACCTGTCCTTTTGATTCTAGATATCCTAGTGGTTGTGAATTGGTATACTATGGTTTTGATTTGCATTTCCCTGATGACTAATGATTTGAGCATCTTCTCGTGTACTTGCCATTTGTCTATCTTTGGAGAAACGTCTCTATTCAGAGACCCCTTGCCTCTTTTTAAACTGGAGTTTGTCTTTTAGTGTTGACTTGTAAGAAGAGTTCTTTATATATTGTGGATACTAGTTCTTTATCAGATATATGATTTGAACATATTTTCTCCTCTTCTGTGAGTTGTCTTTTCACATTCTTGATGGTATCCTTAAAGCATAAAACTTGGCAACTCTGATGAATTTCAATTTTTCTTTTTTCTTTTGTTCCTTGTGCTTGTAGTGCCATATTAAGAAACCACTGCCTAATCCAAAGTCATGGACATTTATGCCTGTTTTCTTCTAAGGGTTTAATAGTTCTAGCTTTTAATTTAGGTCTTTGATCCATTTTGAGTCAATTTTTCACATAGTGTGAGGTCGGGTCCAACTTCACTCTTTTGCACGTGGATGTCCAGCTTCCCCAGATGAAAAGACTAGTCTTTCCCCACTTAATTTGCTTGGTACTCTTGTTAAAAACGAATTAACTGCAAACATTAGGGTTTATTTTATTTTTGTATTCTCTTGTTCTAGTCCATGGATATGTCTACCTATATGCCAGGATAACGTTGTCTTGGATACTGCAACTTCGTAGTAAGTTCTGAAACAGAGAAGAGCAAGTCCTCCAACTTAGTTATTTTTCCAAGATTGTTTCAGTTATTCTGGGTCCCTTAAATTTCCATAAGAATTTGAGGATCAGTTTGTCAATTTCTGCAAAGAAGCCAGTTGAGATTCTAAGGGAAATGAATTTAATCCGTAGATCATTTGGGGGGTATTGCATCTTAACAACACTGTCTTTTAATCAATGAACATGTGATATCTTTCTCTTTATTTAGGTATTCTTTAATTTCTTTCAACAATGTTTGTAGTTTTAAAGTATTACTTATTCCTTTTTTTGGTCACTGTAAAATTGTTAATTTCATTTTAAAATTGTCCATTGCAAGTATATAGAAATACAATTGATTTTTGTATACTCATCTCCAATACTGCAACCTTGCTCAATTTGTTGATTATTTCTAACCAGTTTTTAGTGGATTCCTTAGGATTTTCTAGATACACAATCATGTCTGCAAACAGAGATTGTTTTATCTCTTCCTTTACAATTTGCATGCCTTTTAGTTCATTTCCTTGCCTAACTGCTTTGATTAGACCCTCTATAGTACAATGCTGAATGTAAGTGATGAGAACGGATTTTGCATCTTGTTCCTGATCTTTGGGGAAAACCATTTAGTATTTACTATTAAATATGACAGTTGCTCTGGGTTTTGCATAGATGTCCTTTATTAGGGTGAAGAATTCCCTTCTATTCCCAGTTAGCTAAATGTTTTTTCCTGAAAGGGTATGGGATTTTCTCAAATGCTTTTTCTGCCATCTATTGAGATGACTGGTTTTTGTCCTTCATCCTTTGGTATGGTATATTACATTATGTGATTTTCAGATGTTAAACCAACCTTGCATTCCTGGAATAAATCCCACTGGTCATACAGCAGAATTCTTTTCATCGGTTCCTGGATTTGGTCTGCTAGCACTTTGCTGAGGAC